CAGAGGAAGAAAAGCTGAGAAAGGTGTTGGAACAGCCTGGGGGGACGGAGATAGTGAATGTTTCTGACTATACCAATGGTCGTGCCTCTGTGCATTTTCCCCCAGGGATGTGTTGAGGCCATGTCACAGAGCACTGAGGTGCCCTGTGCCTGAAGAGGGGAAAACTGCTAGGGAAGGAGCCCTAGCAGTGACTAAGGAGCACAGCTGTGGGTTGCCGGGGCAACCAGGGAAGGTCAGCTGACCAGAAGGGGCAGGGCCTGGCCCTTATAAAGCCCAGGAGCTGAGGCTAGAGGCAGTTTCCTGCCAGCAGTCAGAGAGGCAGGAGCTCCCTAAGGCAGAATGCAAGGAGAATCCAAACCGCAGGTATAGCTTGACCTGAGTTGAGCAATGTTGTTTTAGCCGAGCGGCTCTATGTTATGTTATAGCCTAGGGGCTTGGGTGTTTTGCTTTGTTGTTGTTATAACTGGTGGTTTGGGTGAGGCTATTAGGGGTTGGAGGAGGCCTCATAGGGGACTCACAGTGGGGTGTGAGGACCCCTGCGCTAGTGAGGGCACAGCATATGGGGTGCATAGACCCCAGCCCCAGAGAGGGGAGCGCTATTGAGAAGCCCCAGTGCGGGTGTGGCGAGCCCCGGAGAGGGGAGCGCTATTGAGAAGCCCCAGTGCAGGCGTGGCGAGCCCCGGAGAGGCGGCAACCTTATTGAGGAGCCCAAGTGTGGGCACGGCGAGCCCTAAGGGAGGGCGGGAGCATCCCCGAGAAGGCCCAGAGAGAACAGGAAGGGGCCAAGATAGGGATAGATCTGAGTCAACATTGGCGAGGTGTGGACTGCGGTGTAGGGGAGGAAACGGAGTCACAGATAGCGTCCCCTAGCAGCGGGGCAATATAAGGGCAGCCTCCCGCTGATTAACACTGATCAATTAATTAAGAACAAGGCATGGCAGGCGAGTAGGCGGGCGGTTGCCCCAGAGACGGGTGTGTGGGCCACATTAAGGGTGGCCCAGAGTGGGCACCTGTCATAGGCCACTTAGGAAAAACATAGGCAATGTAAATAGTGCACAGATGGTAAGCACCTCCACATGTTTGGCCAAGGGAGAAAGGAAAAGCTAAGGTGTGGTACCCTATGCAAGAAGGGGAGAGGCAGATGAATGCCTGTCTCTTTCAGGGATGGAAGTGTGCAGTGGACTTCCTTCCCCCACCATTAAGGTACTGGAGTGGTACTGGGTGGATGGTCCTTTAAGATGGCAGTTAATCCCACATCTAAGTCCACCCTGAAGGGCTATATAAAAAGGGAGCCAGGAAGAGACTTAGGAGACCTGGGTTGGCCACTGCAGATGTTACAGTTCCCAGACAGGGAGTGCAGTGGACAGAACCTAAAGGGGCAATCAAGATGCTGGAGCAGAGTACCAGGGTGGTTGCACAGCACAGTGGAGGGCCAAAAAGGCTACTGGAGTAGTGTGTTAGGCTGCTAGAGCAGAACACCAGAGAGGGAAAAGAGCAGGATGGACAGCCAGAAGCTCTGGGAGTTGGGGAGTGGAAGGGAGAAGACTGAGAAGGCCAGAACAGAGTGTCCATGAAGAGGCATTTACGTTGTGAAGAATATTTATTTTTTTTCTAGCTTATACCTTTCAGAATGAGATAGTATCTAAGGTGTCATCTTGCCCTCCTACTGCCTGACTTCAGACTAATTACCTCATTCTATTTTTCAACCAGGCCTACATCTTCTAGTGCAGAGAATGATATAAATGAAGCAACAATGAATGCTGAATGAGGCTATCAGTTTCCCTCCTTATTCACTTTATTTAGAGAACTAAATAGAACAGAAAGGGAAAGCAGAATCTTGTTCTTAAAACAGTCCTCCTGGGACTCAGGAAAGTTTGGCCCTCTCCTGAAATTCTTTTGCAGAGTTCCAATGTGAAATCATGCATGTTAATTTAAAAAAAATATTTCGGAAGTGGTCACTAAGAACGTGTGCGTCATTGTAAGCACTAGGGAAGCCCTGTTACCTGGGCAGAGAGCTGGCCATTAAGGAAGAAGAGAACACCTGCTGTCAGTCAAGGGAATGCTGCATGGAGTGAGCTGGCTGCATTGAGGCAGGCAATTATGATGCCATAGATGAGGAGTGCCTACTGCAGGTATGGCTCTGTTGCAGTAAGGCAGTGGAACAGAACCTAGTTGGGCAACAAGGAAGCAGCTGCAGCTGTACTTTTCAGCTCCCATGGTAACTAGATGGCAGGTCCTGGTGAACCAGCCTTGTAGGTGGCAGGGAGGGCCACTTGACCTGTAAGGGCAGGGCTTGGGTGGTATAAAAGCCTAGGTCTTGAGACCAGGAGGCAGTCTCTCTGCAGGCTGCCAGGGAAGGAGGTCTGTTCTGAAAAGGACTCTGGCAGAGAGACTAGGTGGGAGACATTTTCCCCCGAAGACTAAAAGCTGCTAGGGATGTAGCCCTGTGCTTAAAAGACCAGAGCTGAGAGACCCATTGAGAGCTACCTGCAAAGAAGCCTACAAAGGAAGAGGTTACAGGAGTACAGGGGAAGGTTAGTTACATGTCAGAAGGCAGACTTATTTTTAAGTCTTTAAGAAAGGGAAGAAAGGTGATCAAGGGAACTACAGACCGGTTAGCCTCACCTCAGTCCCTGAAAAATCATGGCACGGGTCCTCAAGGAATCCACTTCTAAGCACTTGGAGGAGACAGTGATTAGGAACAGTCACTCTTGGTGATTCCATGCTAAGTCATGCCTGGCCACCCTGATTGCTTTCTATGATGAGATGACTGGCTTGGTGGATGTGGGGAGACCAGTGGATCCCTGGACTTCAGCAAGGCTTTTAATATGGTCTCACAGTGTTCTTGCAAGCAAGCCAAAGAAGCATGGAATGGATGAAAGGTCTGTAAGGTGGTTAGAAAAATGGCTGGATCATTGGGCTCAGAGGATTAGTAGTCAAGAGCTCAATGTCTAGTTAGCAGCCAGTGTAAAGTGGAATGTCCCAGGGCTTAGTCCTGAATCTCGTAAGTTTCAATAAGGACAAGTGTAAAGTCCTGCACTTGGGACCGAACAACCTCATGCACTGGTACAGGGTGGGGACCAACTGGCTAAGCAGCAGTTCTGCAGAAAAGGACCTGGGGGTTGCAGTAGGCAATAAGCTGAATATAACCTAACAGTGTACCCTTGTTGCCAAGAAGGCTAATGGCATACTGGGCTGCATTAGTAGGAGCATTGCCAGCAGATCCAGGGAAATGATTTTTCCCTTCTATTCAGCACTGGTGAGGCCACATCTGGAGCACTGTGTTCAGTTTTGGGCCCCCCACTACAGAAAGGATATGAACAGACTAGAGAGAGTCCAGTGGAGGGTAACAAAAATGGTTTGAGAGCTGGGGGACATGACTTCTGAGGAGAGGCTGAGGGAACTGGGTTTGTTTAGTCTGCAGAAGAGAAGATTGAGGGAGGATTTAATAGCAGCCTTCAACCACCTGAATAGTGGTTCCAAAGAGGATGCAACTAGACCATGGGCGTGCAATTGTTTTGGCTAAAGGGCTGCTTAATGAGTTTTGGTGAACTGTCAAGGGCCTCAAGGATAGCTCTGCCCCATGACTGGTACCCACCCCCCGGGAGCCATCTTGGGACTGGAAGTTCTACCCCCC